TGTCGCAGACGCAGCCACAGACGACGCCACTTGTCTTGTCGTGTCTCAAATTAATTAAAGACTCATCTACATATTTCATTTCCACTCCAACTGGTTGTTTAGTGGACAAGAAAAAGCCGCGGCCACAAAAACATCCAGCGAGAAAATGCGGAAAAACAAACCTGGGGCGAGATGGCGACTGGGAACTGGGAACTGGGGATAATGGAGACTGGGGATCTCTCTGCGGGCGCCTCTGAAATTGGCCTGTCACTGGTCACGCACTCTAAGGCGGAAAGGGGGCGTGGTTCGGTTCATTTTATTCATGCAAAACAATTTACAGTTTTTTAACATCTTTCTTAAGACATTTTTCGAACATAATTTTTGGGCATATTTAACACGTGTTTGTTTTTTACATTTTACAACTTTTTTCCGCTTACATATTTTTTAACATAATTTCTTCGTTTGTTTTTCCCTCTGCGGCTTGTATTAATTTGTAAGAACGCACACATTGGGTGTTATTCAAATGCGGTGAACTTTCACTGGAAAACTTTTACCTAATCGGCTTTTATATCGGGCTCTCCTCTGGTGGGCCAAGCCACTCGATGGCACAATGCCCGTCGAGGGGGGGAGAACTACCCATACTTTACACGTTATTAGTCTGATTTAATCAAATGAAGGCATTCTCAATAGCCGCATTCATTTTTCATTAATGAATTGGACCCAGATGGAGGCCGAAGCCTCGCGATTGCCTGAAACGGTAGCGTTGATAAATCTAATGTATCCCAGGGAGAAAGCCAGAATCCCACCATCCCACCACGTGTGGAATGTCCGCCAGAGAAATTCCTATCTAAATTGGTCGTGTCAGGGCCCATCATCGGCAGGAATAGATCTCATCCGGACGATATGGCATCGTTTTCCATTATGATTTGCCATTTCGCAAATATTGCAACATTTCCCACTAAGATAAAATGGATTTTTGTGGGCGTTTTTCGGGTAAACAACCCCTGAAGTGCAAATCGGCGCTGTCAACGCGATTGTAATTTATTCTTTTGCGTATTTGCTTTTATCGGAAATTGGCCAATAAGGTATTCGGTTGCAGGATATCCTTTCCCTCCCCTTACCATCCCCAAAAACCAAAAATGCATTTCGATTACCCCAAGAAGTAACACACAAAAAACGGGGAGAGGGTGCGAGTGCCAGGTTTACCCAACTGTGAATTCAATTTGGCACTCCAGCGATTGTTTGTGGATGGGTGCTAATTTGAGATGCCGGAGTCCCGGAATAGATACGGATTGCAATTTCTTCGGCCACAGATTTGGGGTGGGAACGGTCGCCGCCGCTTTCCCATCGCATAAGTAGCTCTGCTGGCAGTTTTTCCCCGGAATAAAAAAGCAATCACCTGCAAATGCTAAGCATCTCGGCTTATCATACCGCCCACGGTTTTATTTATCGCCGTTTATCTACTTGAGTGCAGGCGGCGCAACTTCTTGTCAAAGATTTATTACCAGGCCAAACGACAACTCAATAAAGCGCCACTAATTGGGCTTTAATAGACAGCGACTGTTAACTCTTCATTGTCATCTGGATCGGGGGATCCGATCAACATACATATGCTGAAGTCCCCATTGATTGATATGCTCGCCTCCGATTCAAATCAAATTGTCAAAATACGCTGCCCACGATCATAAATTAGGCGAGCTATATTCCAAACAAAAGTTCACAAAAGACGGCGTGCCACGGTAGTGAATGCTCGAGGGGCTCGAGGACCAGACAAAGCGGATAATGCCTCGCTTAGAGATATTCCCAGAGATATTTTTTACGACCATTGATGGCTGGCATACCATATTATGTTAAATAACCACAAAAGCGATCGTAAATTTTCATAAAGTGTCACGCCAAAACGTCACACTTTTTTGTCAGCATAATTAAAAATATAATAAAAGGCAATTCCATACATATATGCATGGATTTATTTAAATACCCGGTGACTATTTCATTTTTTGTCAACTCCAACTTTTATTGAGGGCCTGCACATAAATTTCGACATTACCAATGCCGTCGTCTGTAGCGACTGTAGCGTCTGTCTCGGAGAAAATGAAGGCCTCATTTGCATAAATTGAGCGCCTTCTCCCCTTAACGGTTGCCGAAGAGATTGTCCCTGTCCAAGTTACTGGCCCATCGATCCATCCATCGATGACAAGGAAGCCCAGAACCCAACCCAACATAACTCAATCGAGCACCTTCCGAAAATGCCTGCGATTTGACAGGCATATTTTCTGACATTTTAATTATTGTCAGAGCGTGACAGCCATTGGAGGCGATTTTATTATTGGTGTCTCCTGAGGCCTCTCCTCTCCCCCATGCTCCACTCACTACGTGCTTAATATGTGGGTAATTTAAAGCAGCTCAGAAGCGTGCCAGGAATTCGGATACATTTTAATTTTGGAGTTCGGTCTTTGGATTTCCCCTTCCCTGGTTCAATGAACTGCACTCAACGCCTGATTGAACGAACCTCCCCACAGGCACAGCCCGTTGATAGATCAATAAAAGATCGTTCGATTATCAATATGCACTTATTTCACACCTCAAGCAATTCCGTATTGTTATTGTAGCGGCTGCGATAACACACATAATAATGAGCTGAGCAAATTGAACAGATTTCTATGACTATTACTGGAGAAAAGATAAATTGGGTGAAAATTCACTTCCTGATCGGTCAATTTGAGTGGAAAATATATCCATTTTAAGACTTATAAAATATTGAGCAATAACAATAATTAAATTAATACATGATTAGGGGAAAATACTTTTGAAATTGATTTCTTTATATAAAACATATTTAAAAAAACTAAGGTAGTTCTATCCATTATAATTATGTTTTGATTTGTAGCATATTAATATAAAAAAGAAAATACTGTAAAAAAGAATAATAATAAAAAAAATCAAATGCTCTCAACGAGCATAGGCCCCGGCGAGATTCGAACTCACGATCTCCTGTTTACTAGACAGGCGCTTTAACCAACTAAGCCACGGCGCCACATGCCGTGCAGCTCGCTAAAGTTCTGCCACAAGCTGAGAGAGGGCGCTCTCTGTGTGTGTTCCTCCGCACTCTCATTCGGCTTTTTGTTGTTCTCCGAGCTAAAATTAGCAGCACCACGTATGGCGTGCGAAAGAGACAGAGTGCCGGAGAAAACTTTCCCACAAGAATAAATATAAATTATTCTTCTTAACAATTTAATACGCTAAAAGTTGTCGCTGTCCGAAAGGCGCATGCACACAAGAAGATAAAAAAGAAGAAAAATTACTTTTGTTAACTCGAGCAAAACAAATCGTTTTTTAAATGAGGCTCGGAGAGAAAAAGTCACACCACGACAGGCGCAACACGACGCAAGTGAAATGCAACACCACATGGCATGCGGCGAAGAGAAAGGCTGTCGCTGGGCTCCAAGTCCCCCTGGCCCCCTCGATTTTAACAAATGAACTGACGCGCTTAGCATGTCATTTGTTTAGTTTATTCCCTCTTTTTTTAGTATTTACAAAAGAGTTTGAGTGGCGGAAAATCCAATGAAATCCACTAAAAGGCAATTGCCAAACACTTCAGAAAAAATGGAACAATTACTCACGGCTCTGGGAAATTTGTGGGGGAGGGAAATTGTACATCCAATAGGGAGTAGGGAACGGTAACGGGAAAGGGAACTGCATCGGGAAGGGAAGAAGAATGGGAGCACAGCCTCTTGTTGCAGCTACTGCATTTACACTATTTATGTTCTTTTCCTTTCGCCGAAACTTTACAATTTCCGTATTTAATTGGGGTAAGGGGTATGGGGGAGCATGATGCCCTGTAAATAAAAAACGCATGCCTTTCCCATGCACACACGCCCCTGTTTTGTTTGGGCAAAGTTGCAACCGAAGTTGCAATAAAAGTTGCCTATACGGGATAAGCATGTGGGCCATAAATTGCCCACCTATTGACAGCAATATTTTATGATATTCACGCTGCTGTTTATGCGCTGGCACAGTTTCAGCTCTACCATATGCGATAATTCCCCAAGTTATTCATCAGAAATTGTTCAGTTGATTGCCTATCAGTTTAAGTAACAAATACCGGCATATCTGTATCCCTTTTTCATGTCAAGGATTTTATTTCAGCTGCCACATAAATAATGTCTCGTTAAAGATTTAATGGCTTATTCGCAGCTCCGAACTTTCTATCATATCGTCCAGGAGCAGTTGCAGTTCGAAATGCATTTTTTCATCACTCAAGTGGCCACTCAGGGACTGCGCGGAGTATACCGCATAATCTCTAATAATAATTTTTATTAGGAACAGCCATTTCCTTGCCACAGCAGCTGGCTAAGATTTCAATTTCCAATTGCTCCCGTAACAAGCTGCGTATTTATAAATTGATGTTTATTGTGTGCACTAAGTGCAGGGAGTTCATTGAACGGACGGCGGCCAAGTGCTGACACACTTTGGCCAGCCAACTGCCAACTGACAAAGAGGCCGGCCTCTTTCCCCTCTTCCATCTTTCCCCTTTCCTGGCCCCTTCCACGGACCCCACAAGTGGTTTGACCTTAAGCGAACCTGAACTTGAATTTGGTGTGGCTTTGCTCGTTTCTCAAGTGCAAGGCGGCGCAGTTTCAATTAACCTGGCGCGAATCGAGCCATAAATAACGTCCGCCATTATCTCACTCAAGGCATCTTCGATCGGACGCAGTTGACAAATTTGCCCAGCAATGGGAATCTATGATTTACCGGGTTCCCCACTATGTATTTTATTGGCCATTTAATGCTCAACCCATGCCTGCAAGCGCTTTACTCACTCCTGGGCTCTGACGGCTGCCCAGGTGTCGGATGTGTAATTAACAACTTTTTGGACAGGGACAGGCCTTTTGGGCACCACTGACATCCTGGCACTGGCACCTGGGCCCAGATTGTGGGTCAGCCCGCAATCAGGTCTCCACTTCTGCAACGTGTGATTGATAATTAATTAATATGCTTTCTCTCCGTTCCGTTTACAGCGATTCTCCAGCGCTCCACCGTGGATGTGGGACGCATCAAGCTGCAGAGTGTGGCCACCTGCCTGTATCTGTGCATGGACGCGTGCGGCGCTGCCTATGGCTCGGTAAGCTTAAAATATTGTATTGTAATATTTGTATTTGACAATGGGTCAGCAGGAGAAGACTTTGTGAAAATTGTGAACTTTAGTTATTTTCAAATTCGGACTTTAAACATAATATAACCGATCTACAACCGATCTTGACTTTAATTTTCAAACAATGAACTTAAATTGAAATATTATATTGATTTATATTTGTTATTCTTGTTTTGTTTCTACCGTTCTAATCAAAAATACTTTTAACTTGTTAACTTTACAAGAAATAACTCAAAAATCGGGCCATCCATATTATCCTTACTCCCTGAACCGCGAAATCGATTTCGAGTTTCAATTTTCCGCTCCCAGATAACTATATTTGGTATATGCTCCAGATATAGGTATCGGTTCCTATCGTTTCTAGGCCATTGTTGGCACCCCTCCGCACAGAAAACAAAAACAAACAAAGGCCTGTTAAAAGATTGAGGTAAACCGAAAAAAAAACCCAAAGGGAAGGACACTCAAATAAATGAAAGAGCGACCGAAGAGGTCGGGCAATAAATAAAAAATTAAATGTGAACAAAAACAAAGCAACACGATCAGCAGCAACACAGCGAGTCCTTCGTTCGTCCCTTTTGCCTCGGAATGTGTCCTTATGATCGTTCGGCCAGGTCGAGTGGCAACTGATGGCGGTCGCAAGTCCTCGAGTGTGAGTAAGAGTTCCCCCTCCGCCAGAGTTAAGGCGACACTTCACTTCACCCCGCTGGGTTTGGGAGCGATCCTCGAGTTCGTCTGCGCTGCGGTTGCCTTTTTTGGGCTGGCGCCATGCAACCGCTTCGGCTGCGCTTCAATGGTCCGGCGGACATTAGTTTTTGATTTAATTTATTTCGTTTCTTTCCGCCGTCGCTAGCACTTTGACCTTTTCGCATCCGAAATAGCAGCGTTGTGCCAATTCTGTCAGCCGAGGCGTGTCCGCATCCACGCTCGCGCTTGGTATCTTGCAGATACAGATACTTGCTGATTGATGCGCTTCACCAGCGGCAACTTTGTAGGCGGCCCTTTGAAGGCGCCGCATGCCGCCTGCCTGAGAGAGAGCCTATAACATAGCCGACATATCTTTAAGTTGGTCAAGTGGGCGGTTATATTGGGCCGTCTAGTTTATTTTCGCCAGACATCGGGTATATCACTCAGAATAAAAATCTCTAAGATATCTAAAAAAAAATCTTATTTAAACTTAAACAAAACAGAAAGCAGAATTTATTTCAGAAAATATTTTTTGGTGGATAGCAAAGGTCTTTTCATTTTCATGTATTATTTATAGTGTAGAAAATGTATTATTACTGCCGCCTTAATTACTAGAGATCCTTGAATTCCGACAAATGATTGTTAAACACCAACATTCCTATAAGGCTCGTTCACAAGCCAAAATTGTTATTATTCTGCGATACAAAGAGTGCATGAGATCTACGGGCCTCTTGTTTAATTTAATTCTCTTCGTCATTTTCTATTCATAGGCGCCTGTTGCCTGGCGACGGCTTTAATGACATTTCACCATAATATTTCAAGTATTTTCGTCCGATCTTGTGACCACCCCGAGGCAGGTGATTTTCGGCCTTGCTAATTGACCAGCAAACACAAAAAGCCCGAAACGTATGCCAATTCATAAATTCCGACCCGAAAACAAGCCGGAACCCGAACCCCTCGTGAGTCAGCGTCTCGTCCAATTAAAATGTCGTAGCCATAAATGTTCACATTACGGTTTTGCTTATTAATTTGCATAATTTGTTCTCTCCCAGCGAGACGGAGACCGCCCGCGGAGGAAACCGAGCTGGGCTTGGTCAATTAATGCGGAGCGCGCCCAATGAATATGTTGCATCATTATCGTCGTTATTGTCCTGTTCGGGGCGATAAGTGGCGGAGCGCGTCACGCGGTGCTCGAGCTGAGTTCCCCTAAGTGGTTCGGTACCGTTCGTAGGTGTTCCCGTAATCTGTCGACCCTTTCTCCTGGACCTAGCATCTCACCTGACGGCGCCACTCGATAAGCTTCAATGGAGAGAGAGGCTAATGGCTCGGCTATCTTCGGTCCCCGCTCGCCGGGTTCCCTTATCAAAGTACAACTTCATTTCCCTTTGGTGTCTGCCAATTTTCACTTGCAAGCCATTAAAGACTAAAAATAAACCAAAATGCCTGGAAATGCGTATCATAAAAGGGAGTCTGGTGAGGGGCGGCGCACACATTGTTGTCACATACTCGTATGTCAAAAAACTTGTCTCTACTTGACTCGACCTCGGGAGCGGCAGCGCGCTCCTGGCCTGGCCCTGGCCCTGGCCCGGCCCTCACCCATTTGATGGCTCATTTCGGGCCGCCTTTTGCCTGATTAATTTCTAAATTTAAGCGGCGACATTTCACCGACAATGGGTGCCTCGCTGGCGTTTTATTTGCGAAGCAATTTTAATTGCCTGACAAGCGAATTAATTCAATGTTGTTAATTGAATTTGATCTGCAGATGTCTGGGGCAGTCGGCGCGCATCCAAAAGGCCAACAAGAAGAGGGACTTGCCGAGAATCCTTTCCCCGCTCTCGATTTACATTTTCTACCTAGCCAATAATTTTTAGTTCTCAGCGCCGGTAATTATTTCAACTGGCTCCTTGGGTCCTTTTGTTCGGCTGTCATGAGGTGTTCATAAAGTAGAAATGTTTATGGCCATAGACGGCTATCGATGGTCAACGCCGATAGGAGCACATCCTGTGATAATGAGCGCATTTATCCATCAGATTGCTCTGGCGATAGATAAAAGATACAGACGCCGCCCGTAAACAGCGAATTCAAAAAAGGTATATTTCGGTGGGGAATGCGTTCGGATTCTGTAGAACTTCGGTAAAGAATCAGATGACAACCAGTAACCCTTTGAAGAAGCCTAAACACTTATTGGTTGCTTGAAATTTTTTTATAGTAAGCATTTGAATCCCTTAGCTACCGGTAGATGTCAAGACTTAATTTTAATATTAGTTAATATCCCAACGGAGCATCTATCTCTAGAAAATGTTAAAAGATTTTACTTGGGATAAGTATTTCAATTTTATTGAAGAGACTTTTCTGACCGAGCTCTAGTCGTGTCTCTCTGAATTCGTACTTGGGAATTTTATGTTCTCTCTCCTTCCCATCCGTGTTTTGCCAAATAATTTAATCACAGCCCTTGATTGTTGCAGAAAGACTTCACCGACGACTGCGTCTTCAACGAGAACATGGGTCTGCAGAACTACAACACGTACTCCTCCACCTACAACTCGAACGCGCGGCGCGTCTTCTACCTGGCCCTCAATGGCAAGGGAGAGCTGCGTCGCACCCAGATCTCGGCCAGCCGGTCGCTGCGCAAGCTTAGCACCTACACCAACGCCATCACGGAGACGGTGCCGCAGGATCGGGTGGAGCAGCTGATCGCCAAGAACTTCGGGGCCAATCGCGTCAAGCACGGCGTACGCCAACTCTGTGATACGGGCAAGCCGCTGATCCCGCTGATCGACGTGGCCCACTTCAAGGCGCCTCCGCAGTGCAGCGGGAGTGGGAGTGGAAGCGGAAGTAGTGGAAGTAGTAGTAGCAGTGGTAGCAGCAGCAGCAGCAGCAGCAGTGCCAGCAGCCTGATTAGTATTAGTAACAGTAGTCAAAGCGAGAGCGGCCATATTAGCAGTAGCCTTAGCAGTAGCAGTACCATTAGTAGCACCCTTAGCAGTACCCTTAGCAGTAGCAAGGACAAGAAGAAGCGGCGCAAGTGCCGGCCCCACGAGCAGGAGGAGCTGCACCAGTGCCAGAAGCGGCCGGGAGCTGGAGCGGGTAACCTGCGAAAGCTGGGTCCCAAGGCCCAGCGATGCAAGGAGCTGCGCGAGAAGGCGGCCGCCGAGGGAGGCCCGCCGCCCAACTGCGGCAAGAAGAATGGTGGCAAGAAGCAACCAGGTGCAGGGGCAGGTGCAGGTACTGGCCCAACAGAGGGCAAGGGCCTGCAGCAGCAGAGGGGCAAGGGCAACATCCAGCCGGGTGGCAAGCGAAAAGGCAATAAAGCCGGAAAGCAGCGGCAGAATGGCGGCGGCAAGAAGCAGCCACAGCAGCAACAACAGCAGCGGCAACACCAGGCCAAAGCTGGGCCCGGTGGCAAGCGAAAGCAGCGGAAGCAAGACCTGATCTCCACCAGCACCACCACCACCATGGCGACCAGTCTGGCCACGCCGCCCGAGAGCCACTGGGAGAGCAGCTCGCCCCTGCCGTCCTTGGCCCTCAGCGAGACCAGCGATCGTGTGGAGCGCAACGTGCGCTTGGCCAGCGGCGAGGATCTGGAGCAGGATGCCGAGCAGGAGCCAGAGGAGCCGGAGGACGCCGACACCGACGGCGGCTCCATGGAGGATGCTAGCTACGAGGACGCAACCTCCGAGGCGCAGGGACGCAGCAGCGCAGTCGGCGACGATTCGCTCTACTACGATTTGTAAGTTATCCCCTAAGCAAATTCATTCGAAATTTTCCAGAGCTAACTCCATCTTTTCTCACAAAACGAACTAAGTAGAGATTTTCTAAAATATATTTTTGAGCATTTCCTCAAATAACTTGTATTGGCAATAACTTTTTTATATATATTTATGGATTGGCAATTCAATATTTTTCTAAATTTAAAACATTTTTTCCTTCTGGCATTAACTTTAACAAAAATCCTAAATCTTAATAGATTTTTAAAGGTATCTTCCAAATTGATTAATATTCTTTAGTTATTTCTCACATTTTGTATTTTTTGATTTCTTATTATTTGGTTATTGTGTGCTTTTCAAAGTATTTTTCAAAATTTTATTATTTATTTGGGTATCCTTAAGATTTGGTTTGGCAAAGAACAAAATTCAAAACATTCAAAATGTGCAGAATCTGAAAATTTGAGAGAAACGAGAAGGGAGAATCGCAAATCGCTGTATAATGACTGGCCTGAGTATGGAAAAGATATTGTAATTGCAAGTTTTCACAATCAGCCACCTACTATGTACATACGAAACACTACACTGCACATCCAGAAATATATCCTCACTATACACATACATCATTCAGCCAGAGTGTACATACCTTATACATCACCAAACCCCTTCAACTTCCCTGGTTCAATAAAATATTTTTGATGCAGCGGACTGTTGACTCCCCGGCGATGATCCAGGTCAATGCCAGCCCCAGAGCCCCCCAAAAACGATGAATATCAAATGTATTACGACGGAGTCTCGGGTATTTAATAAGAACCTCTCAACCCATTGGAGTATAAAAATATATGATCGAAATGTATGATAAACTGCACGCCCATCCAATTCACAAATACATATGTCGATGTAAAATATCGAAAATTCGAAACCGAAGCCATAACCTTACGAAAGAGTCTATTGAAATACTTGAGTCTCTGCGGCGGAACTTTCACGTCGATGAAAATACTCAGAAATACTACCACTCCGAAGAACTCTACAAATAGATACTGAAAACTTGCAAAGTGCTATTCCCAATGTTGTTAACGGACAAAGCGAAGAAAATTCGAATATGTTACCCAGTTTGTCAAGCAATCGTTTGCAGTGCCAAAATCAGGGTCTTGCAAACAGTTTTTTGACAAATTGCAGATACACGGTTTAGTCGTAAGATACAGTTTTTTGTCTTTGTATTACCGAACCTCGCTGCTTCTCAGTGCGTAGCCTAAGCTCTGTAAATCAATTTTTAAGATGAATTTCCCCAAGGGAAACCCCTAAGCATCCGCAAGCGAAACTATGAAGCCAACGACACATCGAAGAAAAGCAACTATTAAATATTAGAAACCGGAGAAAGGGATTGAAGAGTTCATAAATCAAAACATTGTATTTCACTTACAAATACTTTTGCAACTAACATGTAATATTAATTTATTTAATCGACGAGAGATAAGCGTGAAATTATAGATTGTACTATTGAGTTATTTATTTATTTGAAAATATTTATTTATAAACTACGATTAAGTTGACTCTAGGCCTTAGACTAACAAAACTCTGTTATAATTGCATTATACAAACATTTTCCAGATAAGTGAGTAAATGAACCATGAAAAGAGCATGAGAAAACGCAAGAGCAACTAAACTAAAAAGAATAAAATTAAAACTACATTAATATCAAATTGAGAAAGTGTTTTAGTCAATGTGGTAAGATGAGTACGCCTTCTCCGATATACTGGTACACATACATATATTGCATGGAATTGAATTGTTTTCTGCACGTTGCCCCATTGAAGTTGAATAAATTTACAAAATTATCACAGCACACTCATTTTATTTTTTGGCATGGTTTTCTGTTATATCCTCTCTATAAGTCAGCACCCCGAAACCCCCTCTATAATGTTTTGTGCCCTTTACAGCCTGTGCCTGCAGATGGTCGCCTGGGCTTTCCTCCAGACCCGAGTCAGACTGTAAAGGGATCCCTCGATCGATCGACGGAGATAATTCGCACATTGGACCACCGATCCACACAACAAAGCTAAAGTTCCTGATCTTTAAGCATAAGAGTTCTACCTTTAAATCTACCCATAGAATATTCTATTTTTCGTATTTATCATTAAGACTGAAGGCAGAAATCGAGCAGACAACTAAGCGCGAACTACTGTAAATAAAAATTCAAATATTCAAAAACCTAGTTCTCGGTATCTCTTAATGTCGGGGGCTCCGTACAGCCGCTTGGAAAGCTTATGGCGGCGGGGAATATTTCGTATTCTGATTAAATCCCACTGTCACCATTATGGCACACATCGATTGCGCTGGAAACAGGTGAGCAGATAGCGCTGATTACTCCGGAGAGCTAGTCGCACCTCGCCCGGCACTGTGCTCTCTCCGCTCGCGTAATATGCTGATACCAGCTGACTTCAGTCAAAGACCTTTCCATATGGGCAGTAGGTGACAGCACGTGCCGAAAGAGTAGAGATCATGTGGTTGCCGCAGCTAAATCACGGGAGATCGCAGGGCGGCCACTTGGGGGCTATTACAGGCATTACCTCTATTATAATATGTCCGTAAATCAAAAACATTGTCAGTTTGCCCACTTAAGATTTTAACGTCGATTTGAATGATATAAGAGTTACAAAATTTGCAAGTTTAAATCATTTCTTAATACTTTTTGTGCTACCGAATAATAACTTTTTAAGGCAATGAAAAATATTTTTAGTTATCTAATAATTATGGTTTTACTAGACTGAATATATTGACTTATAAATGAGTACCGATTATTTTGTTATAAATTTTCCATAGATAGGAACTGACTTTAACAAGAAATAATACAAATAAATTCTTAAGAAAAATACAAATATATAAATTGGACTATTTATTTTTAATTTTTTCTGATGAAATTCATACAAATCATTCCTTTTAATTAGTATCTTAAATTCAATCAAATTTTATATCCCACAGGAGATAGGTTCTACTGTTAAACCTGCAGTATAAATGGATAATAAAGTAAAGTTACACTAGGAGACCCAGACCCAGACACATACCCGATCCGCTCTGGTTCCGATCCCGATCCCAAACCCAGAACCGCAGTCAGAACCGCATTGGCGTGCTCCCCAGTTTAAATCGTTCCGATTTCCCTGTGTGAGACAAGTCACGTAGGCCTTGAAATGGCGAAATTGCTGCTCGACGTCGCTCATGTTCCCACATTCGCGTTCATTCAGACGCTGCTGAATTTTTCGCATGAATAGGCGAAACACGAGGCCGCCCAGCCCCCACAGCAGCCGAAAAAAAAAGCCGAAACGATCAGAAATAATAAAGAGACCCAGACCAGACCCACCCGCCGCCGAAGCTCGGACAGTCGGACAGCCGGAGAGCCCGGGAATCAGAGTTCTCTTGGCAACATACTGCCAGCATGGAACAAAAGCTGGCGTAAGCATAAAAGAGCGGGGTGACGTCGCCGGCGCACGCTCCCCACGCGCATTTCCGGGCCTTATCAGCTGCTCTGGCGGTGATCACGATCATCATATGGCCACCATATCGCAGCTGGCAGTCTGAGAGCGGTAATTGCTTGGCTGATTAAAAGAGTTCAATTCGGGAGAAGCCCGCGAACTGGCGGCGCTAACGTACCATACATATTTATATGTACATTTATATTTATTTTTATGGCAAGGGGGCTTTGGTTGCCCACAATGTCACGAAAAGCGTTGTTTCTGTTTACCTTTGGGTTTTTGCTGTCACCAGCTAATGACCGCTAAAATTTCTATCTGGAGTATGCCCCCAAAAGCGAAGATTGCATTCTGTTTCGGGGTTTTTCCTTTCACTAAAATGCGTCACGAAATTACTTGCAACTTTTATGAGTTAAAAATATTTAAAATTTATTTGTGGACTATATTTATATAATATGCATAAGGCTTTTAAGTGCTTACAAAAAAATTAAAGGCCACTTATTTGTTTAAATTGCAAACTTTAAAGGGACTTGAAAGTATTGAAAGTATTCTCTATTAATAATAAAATTAATTTATGTTCTTTTATCACGTTTTCGTTCTAATTCGCTTAACAGTTCTCATTATTTTTAAATTTGGTGATTTGAATAACATACAAACATACATTTTTGGCAGCACTTACGGTTGCGAGGTCTACGTGACGTATTGAGAATACTCCCCAAGACTTTTTGGCTGATTCACACCAATCCAGTGTGGGCATACCCACAAACAGCCACCCAGTCCAACCAACTGCACCTGATCAATGCCAATGCCGTGGCCATTAGCAGTATGTATGTATATAGCGAAATCGAGTGGCAGATTAGATAGATTTATTAATGAACGCCCACTGAAATTCGGTGAAATTAATTTATTGCCGTGACATCTAACAGCCCAACTGCATTTGTAGTTCTATGTGTGGGATAAAGCTTTTACTTTGATCGAGGCTTATCCATTTAAGGTGTCATTATTACTTTGTTTCATTAAGGCCGTTACTTATTATGGTATTTCTACCAATTTCCAATTATACCATAGAGCCACAATAAATCATAATTAATCCCTGTTTAAAAGTAAGTACCTGAAACTTAAGGGGGGACATCTGAGTAACTGGCCAAAAAAAGCCGATTTTCAAGAATTTTTTTTGGCCAACTGAATAAAAGCAAATCGAAAAATTTTAAAGTAGGTTTTATAATGTTATATGTGAAGTACAAAATACATTTTTTTTTTAATAAATCGAAAACAAAATGGCGGCTGTGCAGCATTTCTTCGTAGGCCCTATTTTTTTGAAAGGGGTCCATGGCCGGAAACCTATCGACTTAATTTTTGATCTAGAACAAAAAATCAAATTTTGTTAGTTTCTGTATCTCAACCGCTATCGACACACGTAGGATTGTTTCGATATTTTTTCGTTTTTTAAAAAAACTTACTCAGATATCCCCACATAAGAGGAAGCAAGCATTTTGGGCAGGAGAAAAATTAAATTAAAACCCTTGAAGAATTCAAAAATAATTAATACATTAAAATAATACCAACATTAAAAATTTCAAAGAAAACCATTTTAGGAAAAGATGAAAAAAGGGAAAAACAATAACCATTAACTAGAACATATAATAATCAAATTAACAGAAGAGGAACCCCAAAAACCGCTTCGCTTTTTAATTCTTTAAGTACAGCAAACTTGCGCGCATTCCTTAGTTAAAATCAATTAAACAGATTTCAATCATCCGGACATGACGGAAATGTCAGAATCTCCGTCATACCCGTTCGCCGATCCCCGATCCCCGATCCACGATTCTGATTCCCTGACCCCTCGATGGCCAGCCGCCACCCTCCGCCGAGTCAGGTTTAGTTACAGTTCTAGTTCATGGCCTGCATTGCGTGAATATGATGAATACGCTTAATTGGATTAGCTGCGATGTCTGCCGGGCGGTGACCACGCCGCCGGGAAATGGAAGCGGAGACGGGCCAAGGAGTCAAAGTCACAGCGCCATTGCATAACGAGCCGGTTCGGCCAGTCGGCTGGAAAAGCGTGTGAAATGGAGTTGTAAACCGGCATGATATTCTATTTACTAAATAATTGGACACAAATGTCGCCGGCGATGGGAGAGCATGTCCATCAGCCGACCAGACTATGGGTAAGTGATATGTGCAAATGTTCACAAAGCAAAAAAAAAATCTCATTATGACAAGAATAAAAAAAAAACTGTCTTGGAGATGCGGGGTATCGATCCCCGTACCTCTCACATGCTAAGCGAGCGCTCTACCATCTGAGCTACATCCCCTGTTGGGTATTCGATGTCATAGTTGTTATGTGAAGGCCTTTCCCACCGTTAGCTGTGTCTCAATAGTTTAGCCCTTTATGTGTGTTCAAAAAAGCTTCAAATAAAAAGAGCAAGTGAGAGAGCTTTTTACGAAATATAACAAAAAACAAAAAAAAGCTTAAAATATTAGTATGGTTTACTGACCGATTTGAGGGTATAACGATTATGGTAAAAAATGTGCACTTTATTTAAATTTTTAAAGAAAATAAAAATTTTAAAAAATTCGTAATCTGTTTCCGCCCGGGTTCGAACCGGGGACCTTGTGCGTGTGAAGCACACGTGATAACCACTACACTACGGAAACCTACAGTCTCACAAGGACCAAAGTCCAAACAATTAAGTACCAAAAAGGATAACAAAAGACTTCGTGTCCTGCTAATTCGTAGAATTGGCCCTTAAAAACAACCAAACTCAACCCATTTATATTATTTTTTCCTAGTTTCTCTGTCAAGTTCAAAGCATTTAGAATGTTGCACTGTCTGTCAACGCAACCCCCAAGACGCACTGCGTGCAGCATATTTAAGCAATAACAGCACTTTCTTTAATAGGACGCTGTCCTATTTCCAGACAACCTTTCGCCTTGGGTGGCGGTAGTCGACAAGGAAAGTCATAAAAACACCAGGGAACTGGGAGTGACGCCGGGACGCTGCGAGTCGTAAATGCAGTTGAAGTTCGGTGCGTGCTGAGGGTCGGCGTGTTTATAAATACAACACACCTGAAAACGCTCATAAAACCAGCCTCATTAAATCGAAATAAAAAGTAAATGCGGTTGAGAGAAAATTAATTGTATGAACTTCAACTAAAACAGCGGGAACTGGGAGGTTGGGTCAATTGGCATTGAATACAAATTGCATGCGAAAGAGAGAAAAAATAAAAAAAAGTTATTGAAATGTTCCCGCCCGGGTTCGAACCGGGGACCTTGTGCGTGTGAAGCACACGTGATAACCGCTACACTACGGAAACAACTGAAAAAAGACAGCCCAATGGTGGCCATAGGCTAAAGACAACTGAAGATCTGACGGCTTGGGCTGCCCAATATATCAATGCCCAGATTTGCATAATTTCTATGCGGGACAAACGCAGGAATGCGTTGACAGAGACCCCAATTTATGGGCATGGCGATAAGCGAGTAAAAGTGTTTAGACTGCTGAAGATAACTCCTTGGAATTCGGTGCTTAAACTTGAACTATAAACATAGTTGGGAATGAGCTGCGACAACAGAGAGTTTCCCTTTTCCGACTCGCCTCTTAATAAGGAAAACTCTGATATCATCTAACCGGGCGGTGCGTGAGGCGGCCCTATAAATAAACCGCAAAAGCAATTAGGTGGCTTCTTGCCAAAATTGATTGCAAATTGTGCTGGGGATGCGGCGATGGCTTCGGCGGCGACTGATAAGGGCAATCGCTCGGATGCGGATTCTAAGTGGAATGGACACCCGCAACGGCCGGCAAACGGGTTCAACTGGCCAATGGCGATACAAGTGACAAGTGAACATGGAAAACTAATTTATGTGGCGCATGCGACAGGAAATGCAGGCGACGCGACTCCACGCCACTCTTACTCCACTTCGCTCGATGCGATTCGATGAATCGGAATGCAATGTGCAATATGTAATATGCAGTGCAAACCCGTCCCCGCTGCAGTTGCTCAATGAAAGTTGGTTCTTGGCTCTGCGATCTTGGGGACACTTGTCGCCACGGAAAGGGAGACCTTGACCGGGTCCCGACTGGGCAACGGTAATACGAAACCACCGCTAAAACGCAACAACTGGCGAACAAGTGACGAACACATTACCGATTCCGGGCCCGGCTAACAACACTTTGCTCTTAACAACACCCGGCGACGGCATCTTTCCCCCGCCGGCTTCTCAGCTGCGAAGACTTGTTAAGGAATCGTATCTATCGCTGGGATCTGCATAACGAGAGGCACAGAGAAGAAAGACTGAAAAAATTTGAAAGAAAACACGCAAGTATTTTTTCTTTAACTACTTTTTAAATTCGGAAGCAAAACTTATTTACAGACATCCACTTGGAAATTATAGGAAAACCAAATGTAAATTAATAAATTGAATAATGATAGTTATGTTTATTTAAAAAAGTTAATAAAAGTAATATAATGAAGGTATTTAAAAACCAGTAAACACCCAACAACTTAGACTAAGCCTATCCTAATCTCTTCTCTCAGTGCACTCGGCAGCCGGTTCCATTTGCGTTTGGCTGCAGGCTGAGGAATCACCTCCATCATCATCAGCATTGGCCACTGGCTCCATCCTATGGTATGATCATCGCTTTTTGACCAAGTTATGCTACGCGAACAACAATGTGTCATGTCGGCCCGGCCGCTGGCCTGGGGCTGGAGGTGGCCAGTTCCTGGAGTCGCCGGCACAGAATACACTCTCAGTACATGGCCGCGGTCGTTCTTCACACCTCCCACAACGGGCGGCGAGAAATTCGCACGCTTGAGGCGCCAGTCGATCCAAGGCAGCTGCGCTGGTTCAGAACTCTTGGCCAAGATCAAGACCTCGATCTCAGCAGGTCCAGTTGATGGTCCTCGCTCCCCCCGCTGTCCCCATCTGTGCCCACTGCGGTTGCATCTTCATCTTTTATTAATCGCTACATTTATTTGATTATCTCCGGGCCTGGCGGACTGGCCTGGGATAGATTTATGCCTGGCCGCTGTAATTTACTCGCTAATCATGCAACACTTTTCATTTTGACACGTTCGGTCGGCTCTCACCAAAGCACCGCCAGCGGTAATTATGTAAATTCCCCTCCGATCCGATTCGAAGCGATCCACACCGATCCAAGCCGATCCCCTGCCATCATCCATCGGATGCCGGGGGGTGCCATTTTATGATCTATGCCTGCTCCGTGCTTAGAAGCGAACTTAACACAAATTGATAAAAGCAACATCAACATGGGGCCCGGACTATTTTTACGATCATCGATCCCGCGTTCCTCTTGTTTTCACTGGCGAACACATCGCTTACATAAATTACGGGCCAGGACCCGGGTCCGGTATAGAATTCCAGAGAAAAGGCATCCAGCATCGGGCCGCTGCAGTGTTTTGACACCAAACATCCGCTCTAAGCCGCAGCCACAGCGAAGGGGTTAGCCACGTGAAGTGAAGGCTGATCGAGTTCGGGGGATCGGGACTTTGAGAGTCAGGCGGGGGCACCGATCTTGTTAGTCGTTGCCGCTCATGCGCATGACTGCAATTTAAGCGCCATAAATTCTGTTCTCAGCTCCCCCTATGTCGAAGGCAATGTGTCAAAGTTGTTATGCCCTTGTTCTCTGCAGGGTATCAGAGGTATGTGCAGGATATACATGGAACAGTTACTTAAAGCAGACTGATAAATTGGAATGGGTTAACATAAGCATAACATATAGCATAAGTGATTGTCATATATAATTCGATTCGTCAATAATCAAAATTAATAATAACAAATAAAGATAACTAATTTTTGAAAATTGTAAATTCAGTTTAAAGTTTTTAAATTATATTATTGACTTTATGGATTAATTATAAATTTTGAACCTTTGCTTTGTTTGGAAGGTTATATAAAAATACCGATCTTATGAAAGTATATCGGTAATGTACTTGACCCTTCATCAGATGTTCAGAGAATAAGCCTTTATTCAAGGTTTATATTATCTACTTGAAAAAGGGTTCCTTTAAATTAAAAAAATAATTTTCTAGAAAAACTAAATATTTTAAGAGCGACTAGCGAAATAGTTAGAATAAGACAAATGTACTAATAATATTTTCTCTGGTGTATTTGTGTTAAAAAATTAAGTACCAAACTGACATAATAGGTATATTCCCATCGATCCTCTAGATCTCCTTGAGGTTTACTCAAGCATGATGCCCTTCCGTACACTCCAATAATGCGAGGCTGCATTAGATGACTTAATAAGATTCCTGTTGGGCATGGGTTGTGTGGGGAGAGGGAGGGTAGTGAGGATATACAGCTGGGGTACCGTGTGGCGGGGGCTTTAGTCAGACTGGTGCTGTGACATATGCAAATGGTAGGAGTAATTAAACAATCTCTCAATCCGTAACTTCGTGAGACATAAATTAGTTCTTAGTATTATAAATAAGCGCAAACAATTTCAGCATTTTCTACACGATTAATAACGCCAATCAGCAGCAATGGCGGCGGCAGCAGTCATATCCATGTAACTGACAAACTAGTCGACATTTGCTAATGAATTAATCAGCGTGGAGATTAGATCGCAGATATGCAATCTGCGATCTGCGACTCTGGATCTGTGATCATGATCGAAAACTATTCAGGCGATCGTCGCACAAAGAGCGTAGCCATTTATTTACACCGGCACACATATTATTATTAGCGGCGTTACTGACCAATGATAATTTGTATTTGGTACCTGGCATTTGCCTGACAATTAGAACCGCCGTCGGAGCTGCCGAGAGTGGATCGGATTGGATGGGCGCCAGGCGGCTTTGAGAAGCTGCCCCACTGCATCCAATTGGTCATGCCCGGCACTTCCTGCATACCCAAGCAGGTTTTGACAGCTCAGGCAAGCAGTCAGTCTGCCAGTCTGATCAATGGGCACTACTTAATGCCCCGAAAATGCGCGGTATGGATCGTATTTCTTGAACTTGACATTGAAAACAACGGCCCGACGCAGATGAAGATGCTCCTTCCGCCCGTCAATCCGCTTGCTGCGATCATTATCACTGATCCCCGCCGAATTAATTCCCAGCCAAAGTGGCTCTTAATTGTTGCAGTTTATTTCGGGACTGCACCCGAGCATTCAGCCATCGATCGATCGTGACTCAGTCGGGGCGGCATGTCACTCATCAGCCGAGTGCAGGATGCGGGGGCCAGAGTATCCAATTGCAGGGCTACAAGATCACGTACATACAAAGTGCAACTTTGCTCCGCTGTCAATCAAATGATAATGTTGCTGTTCCTTTGCCCGTCACCCAAAGGGTTTGGTGTTTGCCCAACTGGAATGCGGATCATTAGGATCATTAGGCACTCGATATGTCGCTGCGAGGGTCGCTTCACACGTACAGCTGTTGGCTCTTCTTCTGGGAGATGCTTTTACTCCATAATGCTGTTTGACGGCAGCATTTAAAAGAGATTAGATTAAAATATATAAATAAAAATAGAGTTTAAATTAGTAAACATGGAATTACTTGAATAATTACATTTTGTATAGATCCTCAATATTGCTGGCTACTGAGTTGCAACAGTAAAGATAATTTCACGTACATTTTTATTCAAATAATTAATATTACATTTATTCGTAAAGATGCGTCACCTAGGATGATTTCAATTAGAAATCGTGTAATTCTCGACAAGATGCTTGTCTGTCAACATATAGGACTGGCTTCCAAGCAACCTCTTATCGGTAAGCAATACTTGCCCAAGAATGCTGACCGCCACCGTCAGCATTACCTTGAACGACAATCCGTTCCCCCCGGCAAACACCGCTGATGATCAATGGGTGTCCGTACGCAACTATCGCACCTGGAACGCAATCATCGGGAGATAAGCCGGCGATATCAAGCATACATACTCGTCTGCCTGCGTTTGGGTGTATATTTTATTTTTTTTCGGCAGTACTCTAACACTGGCTGGATGAGTCACCCGGCGATAATTACTAATTGTCTTTAAGCCTAACAGAATTAAGTCTATGAAAGATTAGTGTCCGTTGCCGTAGTCGGCCCATTTCTTGCCCAGCGCCTGATCGCGTGCCTGCTGGCGCAGCACCTTGCCGCTGCCTGTCTTCGGGAGCTCTGGCAGGAAGAATACCCCGCAGTGGAGTTGCTTGTGGGTGACCACCAGGCGCTTGGCTACGTACTCCACGATATCCATTTCGGTGAGCCGACTTCCCGGGACCTTGACAACGGCCGCTGCCGCAGGATCGCCGTCCACCTCGTTCCACAGTCCAAAGACACAGGCCTCGATCACGTCCGGCAGCTCGGCGATGACCTGCTCCAGCTCGTGGGGACAGTACTGGGCGCCGTGAAAGCGCAGGAGGTCGCCCTTCCGCTCCACAATGTGCAGGTAATTCTCGTCGTCAAAGTAGCCCATGTCGCCGGTGTGGAACCATCCTTGGTAGTCCTGCATACGCTTCGACTCGTTGGGGTTGCCGTAATAGCCATTCCATAGCTTCCCGTTGTGCACCAGAATCTCGCCTGTGTCTCCGTGGCCGAGACTTCGTCCGGCGTCGTCCAGGATCTTCACCCGCACACCCGGCACAATCCTGCCCACCGAGGAGGGCTTGGCCACGCCCATGTTGGCCGCCACTCCGCCGCACTCGGTCAGGGCGTAGCCGTAGGATATTTGTCCCTTGATCAGGAAGTCCTGCAGCTTTAGCAGATTGGCCACGTAGCATGAGCCACCGCCCACACTCACGAAGCGGATGCTGGAGAGGCGCTGCTTGCTTAGGGTTGGCGCCTTGAGGAGCGACGCCACCTGCTGCGGAACCACCGTCAGCAGGGTCACCTTATACTTCTCCACCAGCTGCAGCATGTACTCGGGTGTGTAGGCCCGGTCCGTGATGATCCGCGTGGAGCCGTGGCAGCAGCTGAAGAGCATGTTGAACATGCCTGCCGACCAGTCGATGGTGCTGAAGGAGAGCAATACATCCTGACCGGTCACGAAGCTGGAAAGGATTGAGAATTATAAATCCGAAAATACTCTTTTAAAGACTCACCCAAAGTCAAAGAGGCAAGCAGAGTTAGTGATGCAGACGGCCTTGGGCAGACCCGTGGTGCCAGAGGTGCACAGGACGGCCACCGTCTGATCGCCGCCCAGAAGAAGGTGTTCGGGCCTAGATTGAGGAGAAGCAAGGATCTTTGACCGATTCCATATTATCTCTATAAAATCACCATCTTACACATAATAAAGCTCCGCTTTTGTGGGCTCGAGCAGATCTTCTACTCGCGGCATGCCCAAGCGATGATCCTTCAGAGTGTACACCTGGGACTTGAGTATCCTGGCAATGATGCTCAGCCTCTGATAGACGTAGCCATCGCAGAAGATGAGCCGCGGCCGGGTGATGGAGAACAGGTGCTTCATCGTGTCCTCGTCGTGCCAGGGACTAACTGCATGGAAGGGCGTTCCGTTCAGGAGGCAACCCAGAACCACGGGCATTAGATAAGTAGTGTTGGTTCCCGCAATTCCCACCACATCGTCTTGCTTAAGCCCCAGTGCCTTCAGTTGCTGGGCGATTCGGATGGCAAAGGTGATGGCCTCGCCATTGGTCAAAGCCGTGCCCTCGGTGTCGGAAATCTACAGAGGAAGCATTTATATTATTTCCCATAAAAGAAGGGTTAAAGGGTTAAAGGTTTAGCCCACCTGGCAAATGCTGGATGGATGATTCCGCATAAACGCAAACAGAATTTTACCAATCGAACAATCCGAATCAAAGAAATTCGCCGGCCTTGGTCCACTCCAAATTTTAGTGTATTTATCGAAATTCGTGCTCGAGCGTTCCATTCTGGCGACTGATAAGAGCTGGCCGGGTCTCAACAAACGGTTTTCTGTCCGGGCGCGAGTCCGGGTGCGGGTCCAATAACGATTCTTCAGCGACTGGCGACCGCTCGCCGTGCTCAGGCCACTTCCAGTCCAGGTGGAATCTTATCACCTAACCGGGTCACTACGTCACCGATATGAGGCCGAAGCTCGGAAAGCTCTCCGATAAGCGGTTCCAGTGAGATAAGCCAGGCGAAAGGGGTTCAAGATACAATAATTTTGATATGAGATTGATTGAGTGACGAGCAGATAAATAGAAAGACCTTGGGCGAATGCCCCACTTGTAAACACATTGTAATTCATCTTGAAAGAAAGAATTAAGCTAATTTGGGAATATATAATTTATTTTATAAATGGATTTCTTAATTTCTGTGAAGAAGAAATTGCTTAAAATTATGTATTTATGAAGTATCGTGATATTTATCCAATATTCCTTAGCTGGCTCTCTAGCTGCGTTAAAAATTTTAATACTTCTTTATTACAAAAAATTCAATTTTTTGAACTTTCGGTCTCAACCTCCGCTCTAGTTTGAGATCTTGGTTTCCAGGAAAAACGCCTTGGTGGCCATGCGATTCGTTTTTCCATTGGGCGAGCGCACGAGGTCCTCCACAATGATGGCTCCGCCGTTCAACTGCTTGTACTTGGCCTCAATGTGTTCGGCCACGTAGTCCACAATGTCCTGGACCTTGAGATCACTACCCTGCTTCTTCACAACGGCGGCAGCAGCCTCGTCCCCATTGATCTGATCCCACACCCCGAAGACACAGACCTCGGCCACCTCCGGCATCTCTGAGATAACGCGCTCGATATCGTTGGGATAGTACATGATGTTCTGGTACTTCAGCATGTCCTTCTTGCGCTCCACGATGTACAGGAACCCGTCGTCGTCCACGTAGCCAAGGTCGCCGCTGTGGAACCACATCTGGGGGTCTCGCATCTTGTGGGTCTCCTCCGGATTGCCGTAGTATCCCGCCCAGTGCTGGCCATTGTGAATGCACACCTCGCCCACCTCATCGGGGCCAAGGGACTCGCCCTGCTCACAGATTATCTTCAGCTTGACGCCACTCACCAGGCGACCCACTGAGTTGGGTTTCTCGTCGAAGTGAAGGTTGATGGAGGCCATGGCGCCCAGCTCCGTGAATCCGTAGGCGAAGTGCAGGCAGTCCCGACTAAGGCGACTCCTGATGCGGTGCTGGGTCTCCAACGAGGCCCGAGATCCTCCGAAGAGGTAATATCGGAGGCTGGACAGATCCGCTGTCTGGAATGCCAGTGAGTTTGTCATCATGGCCATGTGTGATGGCGCTTGAATTATCCACGTGATCTTATACTCCTCGACGAGTCGCATGAAGAACGCGGGATCAAATACATTGTCTGCCACTATCCGCTTTGTGCTGAACACCCCGGAAGTAATGGTGGTCAGTAGTCCGGTGATCCAGTCAAGAGTGCTGTGGGTGTACTGGACGTCGCTGGTGGTAAGACAGCTGTAGGGGGAAGCTTCGTGATTAAGTGACCCCAAGGCAAGGCGTTGTCCGTACTTACTAGCTGGCAGCCAGGATCTGGCGGCTATTGGTGATGGTCACAGCCTTTGGGATTCCAGTTGTGCCCGAAGAGCAAAGAATGGCCAGCGTCTGATCGTTGCCTTGTACCAGACGAGCCGGCTGGAAGTTTTCCTCGATGGGAGTGGCTAGAACTTCATCAATACTGATGGAGTCCGTTGGGTGATTGCGCATGGTGATAATTTTGACATCCAGGGATGCGGTGGCGGCGCGCACCTTTTCGAACTCATCTCCATCACAGAAAATGAGACGTGGCTTGGTTATGTCGAAGAGCTTCTCTATGGTGCTTCGCTCGTAGGAGATGTTCAGCGAGTGAAAGGCGATTCCGTTGAAGAAACAGGCGTATGCCACGGCGGACATGTGGGTGGTGTTCCTGCCTATAAGGCCCACCACGTCGGACTGAAGGAGACCCAGGGATCGCATATAGCTGGCAACTTTCATGGAGTTGGCATGGAGCTCATCCCTGGTCAGTATCGTGTTCTCAGTAGCCGAGATCTGAAAGCTCATGCTTAGGTTTTCACTTCTATGCTTTCTAGGAGAAACCCACCTGGGCAATGAGCTGGGGGTGACGCCGCATCTCCTGAAAGATGATCTCTCCTATGGACAGATGTGGGTCGAAGTAATGTTTTACCCGATCCCCTCTCCAGATCTTGAGATCAGCATCGTAGAAGTTGGCTGGTCGGTATGGCATTCCGTGAAGCTTTAAACTTAACTCGCGACTAACTGCGAACTGCAGCGGCTGCTCTCCTTTTATAGACCCGAGCGCTCTATTCGCAAACTATTTAGATAGCTTTCGGGGTCTTACGGGTGTAGCAGTTGCACTGATTGCCCCGACACGCGATCGCATTCGCACTTGTGATCAACGGCACTCAGGCGACGCTCAATGAGGCAATCTCCATTACAAAACACTTGCCTTCTGGTCGGGGTAATTGCCGGGAAATGCATACTGCTCATATCTGGGCAGGCGAGTGAGGCTGCGATTCGCCATGATTAGGCAGATTTTTAGATTGAAATTGAGAGCGAGCGCAGCGATATAAGTAAATATAGACATTAGTAGGTTATCGCATATCGATTCGTAATTCCCGTGAAGCTTCTCAGAGAGGGATAAAGAGAAAGAGTTGCGATGTCAGTAGCTATTCTGAGTTAATATTATAGTTAAATTAGGATTTTACGTTTATTCACTATTCTCTCTTCAAATATAACTATAAAGTTTGTAAAAATAGACTTTTGTCTCTGCTTTATCGGCTTAGTAAGTGTATCTAAGTTGCTTACTTAAGTTATTCTTAATTGGCTGACAAATTTATGAGTATTTTTTTCACTTGTGGGCATGATAGCTTAATTATAAGGGAGAATTATTATCAAGCTTCAAGTGAATCCGCTTAGCTGGATTACTGAAAATGGTATATGGATATGTAACTCTTAACCCTCTAGTGCCCACATTTTTTTTTTTTTTTTTTTCAAAAAAAAAAAAATTATTTTTGGATTCAGTATGTATCAAAAGTGAATGTTTGTTTTAGAAAAAATTTTACTTTTGCTCGGATCGAGTTTTATATGACTAAAACCTTGGACCGCATGAAGGCGGTTCTGGGAAGATTGGCCAACAAAAAATTAGGTAAACATTTTTTTTATTTAAATGTTTTTTATAAATGTCATTGAGACTGTCAGCAACACAGTACAATTTTTTTTTATAATTTTTTTTTCCAATTTTTAAAAAAAGTATTTATATGTTGCATTTCTTACAAAATAATTATTTTGTCCAAGTTGCACAAATTTTCAACTTCAAATGAATACAGCAGCTTGCGTTAGCTCTAGTATGTATTCCAAACGCAACGAACTTAATTTTTGGACTTTCCTGAATTAGAAAAAACGGAAAAACGTGTGAAAAAGAATGAAAATAATACCATTGCCCGTCTAGAGGCGGTCTTGGGCACTAGAGGGTTAAGAAATGTTATAGGAACAATGCTAATTACATTTTATTTGATCTCTTAAGAAATGTTACGCACAAACATTAAATACATAAGTAACAGTACCCTGGAATGTCATAACAAGAACACAGTGACCTGAATTAAACTGCAACACAGTTTCTCCAATCACTAAACAAAGATTCTGCGTGGTAATTGTTTACTTTATTTGTGCAATTATAAGATTTCAAGATTCATTCGCATTTTTTAAGTAGGCCGCCTTGACAGCATGCCGATTGACCTTGCCGTTGGCGCTCTTCGCCAGCTGCGGGACTATCTGTACTCCGCCGTGGAGATGCTTGAACTGCACGGATATGTTCTTTCGGACGTACTGCTCTACGTGGCTGGGGTGAAGGTTGCTGCCGGATCGCAGGACTACGGATGCAGCGGCGGCATCGCCCTCCATCTCCCGCCAGATGCCAAAGACGCAGACCTCGGCCACGTCGGGCATTTGGGCGATCACCTCCTCCACCTCGTGGGGGTAGTACATCATGCCTAGGTACTTGAGCATGTCCTTTTTGCGCTCCACGATGTGCAGGTAGTTGTCCTGGTCGAAGTAGCCCACATCACCGGTGTGGTACCATCCCTCGGAGTCTCTCATTTCCGCCGTGGCCTGAGGATTTCCGAAGTAACCGTTCCAGGACTGCCCGTTGTGGCAGAGCACCTCACCCAGACCCTTGGGCCCCTGCAACTGGCCCGAGGAATCCACGATCTTTACCCGAATATTCGCCATCAGGCGACCCACCGAAGTGGGCTTCGATTGGGTGTCGTAGTTGTAGGAGATCAGCGTTCCCACCTCTGTCAGGCCGTATGCGTTCCTTAGAATGCCAGGTCCGTGTAGGAAGGACTGCATTTTCTTCAAAGTGCCAACCAGACAGTGGCCGCCAGCAAAGAGCAGGTACCTCAGGCTCCGCAGCCTCTGGATGCTAGTGTTCGGACAGTTGGCCAACATGGCCACGTGGGAATTGGCCATGATTGTCCAGCTGATCTCGTGCTGCTCGCAAAGATCGAGAAAGTGCGCTGTGCTGAACATTTCGCTGGAAATCAGACGAACTGTGCCGAACACCCCGGCCGTTATGAGGGTGATGAGTCCCGTCAGCCAGTCCAGGGTGCTGGGAGCATACTGAACGTCGTCTGGACCTAGATAGCTAAAGGGTACGATTGGTTATGTACTGTGTCTCAATTTATATTTTCTTATTCCCACCTATGCATTTCAAACAGCTTGCGACTGTTGGAGAGCGTCACCGCCTTGGGCGTTCCAGTGGTGCCCGAGGAGCAGAGTATGGCCATGGTGCGATCCACTCCCCGCTGAAACTGCGCAGGCTCGTAGTCCTCGGGGAGAGGACTCTGTAGCAGATTCCCCGCACTCGTGACTCCTGGCAGCTTTCCGTTAACCGTCAGGACTAGAGATCCCAGGGAGGAAGCTATGTCCTTGATTTTTTCGTAGTCCGCAACGTCGCAGCAAAGGATGCGTGGTTTGGTGATCCTGTAGAGACTGGCAATGGTCTTCTGCTCCAGATTGGGGTTGACGGCATGGAAGGGCGTGCCGTTAAAGAGGCAGCCGTAGGCAAGCGCCCCTACATGAGTGGAGTTCCGGGCCAGAAGGCCCACCATGTCCGTCTTCTTGTCGAATCCCTGGTCCCGGAGGTAGCAGCCCACCTTGGACGCATTCTGCAGCATCTGCGAGCGCGTCAGTCGCGTGTTGTCCGTGTGCGAGATCTGAAATATCCTTTGGGGCTGCCGCTGCAGCTGCCGGTAGATGATCTGGCCCACGGTGAGGTCCTCGTTGTAGAGGCTCTGCAGACTGGAGCCGCTCCAGATCTTCTGGACCGGATCGTAGCAGGTCGCCGGAGTGCCGTTGAGGTCCAACATCGTGATGCACGCGCCGTTTGATACTGCAGCACGCTCCGATGCAGCCGCTCCTATTTAAAGGTCACCGAAATTGCAAAAATTAGACGGCAATTTAGCAGTTAAAGTGTCCGGATATTTAATTTCACGTATTGATTGGGGAACCGTTCGCCTGACACGATATCGCTGTTGGAAAAGCGTTTGGCGGCTTGAATTATATTTAAGATGTGCCGTTATTTGATGTTAAACGGCTAGACACGCAAGGCGGGGTTAAGAACTTGTCTTTACCAAATCTATGCCTATAAAAATTGTTTTGAAAAATATTAGCTTTTGGTGGAAGCTTGCTTTCCGTTTTGCATTATCGGAAATTTTCCAGATCGCCTTGGACTTGTGCTTTTACTGTTTTATAAAAACGGAAGTTTGCATTAGAATAAAAACTCTTTTTCGAACCTACACCGAATATATTTTCTTGATCAAGTGTCGACTCAATTTAGCCGTGTCCGTTAACAAAAAAATTTATTAATATTTTTTCTAAGTTTAAAAGGGGTTATATAATTGCTTAGCTAAAATTGTTTAAATAATGATGTTTGTGTACTAAAATTATTAACAAAGGTCAAAACATATGTATATTCAGATTCGCTATTGAAATAATAAAAAATTCAATTATACAAAATTTGTATATATTTTTTATTTAATTTAATGTGGATATTAGACTTGTTATTGTTACCGTTACTGTAGTGTAGCATTAGGAAATGGAGGCATTCAATAGATGTTTATTAAGGGAGAGAGAGGTGCTATTGGATGTAGAGTAGGAAGAAGTAATGTGTTAGGTGGGAAGTCTGTCTGTGTTAAGATATCATTCTGCTAGTTCCTACGGGTGGATGTTTTTCAGCCGTCACATTCCAATGGTAAGCTTAAGAAATTAATTAGTTGCTAACTGATTTAAAACCGAAGTTCTTAAATAACTTGGCCCGTTCCGATTATATAGCAGTTTGAGTAGTCTTCTGACTGTATGCAAAGTTTCATTGAGATACATAGCTTCAAAACTGATGGACTAGTTTGCGTAGAAACGGACAGACGGGCGGACAGACGGATCCTAATCCTAAGCTATAATCTAATTAATCCTTACCCTAATCCTAATCCTATGTCACTATAGGACCAGTCAAAAACCACTAATTTTATTTTTTAAAATATATAAAAATTGGATTGACTTTAATAATATTTAATTATTTTAAATGTTAAAATGTTAAAAATGATATCGTGACGCGCACAAATATATACGTAAGATATAAAATAAGGAGGATAATAGAATATACAATAGAAAACTATGAATATGGAATATGGAATAGATTTGAATTGAATGCGCGCGCGCGCCATGATCAGGCGCAAAGGGTCACACTGGCCCAAATAAGGATCTGGCCACACTCTTAATGGCAATTTTCTCCGGGCGCGTCGGTCACACTCGGTCGCATCGGAGCGCTATACAGTGTTGCCAGTTTAGCTTATTGTAAGCTAGTTCTAGCATTTTTGAAACTGGAAAAGCTTGTAAAATTTGCATCTAGCTTATAGCTTGAAATATAGCTTATTTTATAATAAATATAGCATATTCTAGCTTTAAATGTATTTGCGAAATCAACGGTTTGTTTTGTAAGAAATATATTCTTTATGGCATAAAAATATTTGTATTTGTATTTGTATATGTATTTGATTTTATTTGCCTTCCTAACGCTACAAGTTTAAAAAACTTATAAATCGGCGCTTGTTTATTTTTTGCCGATGGTTATGTGCATTTTATGTGATCATGAATTTATTTCTAATCGATAGTGTCATCGAAATCTTCGAAATATTAAAAACGGTTAACATATTTTAAGTTGATAATATTTTGCGATCCCAAAAAAATGTTTAGGAATTCATTAAAATATTTTAATATTTTAATATAACAAATATTGAGGAACTGAAATCCCAAATTGACAAAATTCATCTCATTAAATGGGATAATATTAATGATACAGAGAAATTTTGGGCAGAGGCAATGGACTACAAGGATGCTGCAGGAAGTCAACCATTCGAGTCCCTTTCCTTATTTGCAATCCAAATGCTTTCGTTACCGTGGTCCAATGTCGAAGTAGAACGGGCCTTTAGCCAAATGAATATTGTGAAAACAAAATTGCGGAACAAAATGCATTTAAAAATGTTAAATGCAATATTAAGCATAAGGTATGTTATATTTGCTAAAAAATTGTTTTTTAAATACTTCTTTTTAATTTCTCAGATATGAATTGCGCAGGCATGGGAAATGTTGTCATAATTACAGATTATCAGAAAAATTCGTCATGGCTATTGAAAAAATTGACAAATATTTGACAACAATTGACCACAAAGATGAGGAAATCGATGGTCTACTATCCAATTTAATTTAAATTAAAAAACGTACAAATAAACATTATAAATTAATTAACATTCACTTTTGTATTGATGTTTTTTCTCTTATTTGGGTGTAGATTTTTTTTTAATTTTAGCTTATTCTAGCTTATTTTTATAAAAAATCTAGCTTATACGGGCGCTCACCACCTGGCAACACTGGCGCTATATAAGGCGAGCTCCAGCCCTTCAGTTTCCGGCCAGCGATCGGCCAAGTCCTCTACCAGGAGCTAAGGGTAAGCCAGCAGCAAGGAGCACGGTTAAGTAAGGTATATTGGTAATACTGGCATGACACTGCCGCATTAATTATGCCCATATGATACACTAATGCAGTTTTCATTAATTAGCTACTTCATTAGAACCTTGAAAGAGACCACTATATGTGTAATTTTGTGTAATTTGGCTTGAATTTTGCTTGGATTATTTTGGTAATACGACTACGGTCACACCGACCGTAAAGGTAAACAAAACAAACGGCCGCCATTCGCGGCGTATTACTATGAATTTCTGAATTCCTCGTCGAAGTATTCTAGCATAAATAAATGCAGAATCCTTTAAATTTATGTTTTTAACCTATGATGCTTAAAATTTTTTTAATTATTACCAAAAAAAAATTTTAAATTAAATTACAGCGCAAGAACCTTGCCACCGCAATACATATTATTTTTCCTAATTTTCTAATATTTTTTTCAGTTAAAAAAACCAGCGAAATTATATAAAAATAAATATCTCATTGTGAGACCATACTGTCAATGAGCTGGCTAATACATTTTTCAATTACAATTTTCTTCATTAAACCCGTATTTTGTTATCGAGTATCTAGTATATAATATGTAGATCTATCGATTATCGCTCCAATGAAGTAGCTAATGCATTATTCTAATGCATTAGAGCGCCATATAGTCGTCTTGCTCGCACTTGTGTAAAACGCTATAGCGCTGTCAAATCTTTAATGAAGTCTCTAATTAATGCGGCTGTGTCATATCAGCATTAGAGACTTCATTAAAGATTTGATCGCGCTATAGAGTTTTGCACAAGTGCGAGCAAGATGACTATATGGCGCTCTAATGCATTAGAATAATGCATTAGCTACTTCATTGCCGCGATAATACTGGCATGACACTGCCGCATTAATTAGAGACTTCATTAAAGATTTGACAGCGCTATAGCGTTTTACACAAGTGCGAGCAAGACGACTATATGGCGCTCTAATGCATTAGAATAATGCATTAGCTACTTCATTGCCGCGATAATCGATAGATCTACATAAAATATACTAGATACTCGATAACAAAATACGGGTTTAATGAAGAAAATTGTAGTTGAAAAATGTATTAGCCAGCTCATTGACAGTATGGTCTCACAATGAGAATTTTATTTTTATATAATTTCGCTGGTTTTTTGAACTGAAAAAATATTAGAAAATTAGGAAAAAATAATATGTTTTGCGAGGGCAAGGTTCTTACGCTGTAAAATTAATTTAAAATTTTTTTTGGTAATAATTAAAAAAAATTTAAGCATTATAGGTTAAAAACATACATTTAAAGGATTCTGCATTTATTTATGCAAGAATACTTCGACGAGGAATTCAGAAATTCATAGTAATACGCCTCGAATGGCGGCCGTTTGTTTTGTTTACCTTTTACGGTCGGTGTGACCGTAGTCGTATTACCAAAATAATCCAAGCAAAATTCAAGCCAAATTACACAAAATTACACATATAGTGGTCTCTTTCAAGGTTCTAATGAAGTAGCTAATTAATGAAAACTGCATTAGTGTATCATATGGGCATAAGCGGTAACACATAGTCGGACCCCGACCATATCTTACGTCTATAGCCTAGTACTCTGACGAGAAAAACCCGCTGTCTAAAGTAGACAGCGGAATCGCTGTTTATTTCGCTACCGAGCTAGTGTGACCAAAATAAATTAAGGAAAATCCTGAAATGCCATGAAAATGTACTTATTATGGCGTTTAAGGATTTTCTTTGGTGACACTGGACTGCTGTTTGTAAAAAAATATTCAAAAAAAATATTACAAATATTAATAAATATGGCATTAAAATGTCCCTTGTGGGTTAAATTCCATATTATGGGCTTCGCCATGACAGCCCCTATCAATGCCACTTTTTTCCTTCAACTTTCCCTCCATGAGGGGTGTCTAAATAAATCAAATGAATTATTTAGACAGCGCGATATCAACTGTTTACTATCTTGATCTGGCAACGCCATCCAATTTTAGCAGGCTTCATTTTCGTCGTCAGAGTACCGGAAAAAACGACGAGGCTAAAAATTCTTCTTCCTTTTTCGACACCGTTTTTTTTATATGGAGTTTGCCGCTGTATAAATGTATACACCGGATTTTCGTCGTCAGAGTACTAGGCTAAAAATTCAAATCAGATGGGCGCGCCCGACTACGATCTCATTTGCTCAAGCTGGCGCTGGTCACACCAAAAAGGTATAATCTAGTACAAAAGTTGCGGTCACACTAAGCCTCGCTAGGCCCTATATAAAGAGGGCCAGACCGTAAATCGGTGCCTGTTTTTCGACAGCGGTCGGCCAGGCTGGGCGGGTTCCTGATCGGTATCATCCGCCACTTTGTACTGGCGGAATTTGGCACCTTGATAGGCATGGTGTAAGTTCTGGTAATTAGATTGTGGCATTTTTTATTTTCACCGGATCGTGGTGATCGTACTGTGGAAAAAATAAAATGCAGAGAAACCAGAGTTCTTTAAAATGTTAGAGATTTTAGCACTCTCATTCCACCTCGGAGGTTGTAAGGTTGGCGCGTTGTTTGTTTGAGTGGTTTCCCCAGGAGGCCTACTCCACTTTTAATATTAGTATAGGAAATTAAAATTAAGGTATTAATAAGAAATTTTAAACTAAATATTAATAACTAAAAACTACGACTACAAATAAGAAGAAAAAGGGGAAATCCGAGTAAGGACGGTTGGAAAAGCAACTCAGGGCAAACCAAATCGCTTATTTTTTCCCTATATCCTCAAGATTGTCGTTAGTGAGGAAGGCGGCCCCAAAGCTAGCGGATTCTGGGCAAAGGGAAAAATATTTCTTGGCTATTGCATATACTTTAAAAATTTCCTCCAAACAAAAATCCCTAGTGCTCTCATTGCATTCATTTTTAGCGAATTCTAAAATCGCTTTAAACTCTTTTTTACGTTACTTTTGAGGAAATTAAAACAGTACAATTTTTTAAATATGAAATTTATTACCGTTGCGTTATCTTTTTGCGCCAAAACGGCCGTGGCATGTCTGCAATCCCACAGAAGAGGGACTCTGTAGGATGCAGCGGAATCTTTTAAATTTACTCTATCGTGATCACTGACAAAGGCCAACAAGTTCTGATCTAAATCCCTAGTTTTAAAAAGTGAACGATAAAATTTGTAATTACCTGAATCCTTTCTATATTGCATTTCCTTACATTTAAATAAATTTCTTGGTAACGCAATCCATCATAGGATTGCAGGGAAAAAATGTAGGTATTCAAAAAGATTTTTAATGACAACTGAAAATGTAATAAAATAAATAAATATTAATATAAACAAGAAAGGAAATGTTGAAACATGCAAATTTTACCAAGCACGTGTTGGTCTCTTTCTCGCACATTGTTTTGTATGTATGTACTTACCCGCAAAGTAAAGGCGTCGTAGCACACGACAAACGGCACCTTCCACGTCTTTGAATCCACCATCGACGTCAGGTTTATTGAGCAATTGGACAATTTTCAGCACTTTGGAAGCCCTCTCTTCCAAATTGTCTCTATCCTTAAGCCTAGTACTCTGACGAGAAAAAACCGCTGTATAAATTTAGACAGCGGCCAAACTCCATATAAAAAAAACGGTGTCGAAAAAAAAGAAGAAGAACTTTTAGACACGTCGTTTTTTTCGGTACTCTGACGACGAAAATGAAGCCTGCGAAAATTGAATGGCGTTGCCAGATCAAGATAGTAAACAGCTGATATCGCGCTGTCTAAATAATTCATTTGATTTATTTAGACACCCCTAATGGAGGGAAAGTTGAAGGAAAAAGGTGGCATTGATAGGGGCTGTCAAGGGGAAGCCCATAATATGGAATTTAACCCACAAAGGACATTTTAATGCCATATTTATTAATATTTTTAATATTTTTTTTGAATATTTGTTTACAAACAGCTGTCCAGTGTGACCAAGGAAAATCCTTAAACGCCATAAAAAGTACATTTTCATGGAATTTCAGGAGTTTCCTTAATTTTTTTTGGTCACACTAGCTCGGTAGCGAAATAAACAGCGATTCCGCTGTCTAATTTAGACAGCGGGTTTTTCTCGTCAGAGTACTAGGCTTTAAGGGGGGGGTAAGGTTAATTCGGTGCAAAAATGCCCACTTTTCAAAAAAATGTTGTGGCGAAACGGCTAAAGCTAGCTTAACGAATTAAATACCATATAATAACACAACATTTGAACAGTTTGTGATAAATTTTGTATTGAAAAATATTTAGAGGTAGAGGAGTTATAGGGAATCTCCCGAGTCGCCTCCAAAAAAGTTGGTTTGCGGTGTACATCCTAACTGTCCACAGAATCATCCGATCTACAAAAATTATACCTCATTCGTTAAAGGATAAGTGTCCCGAGGTATTCTCGAAGCGTTTTTATTTTTAAAATTTTTTCCCTATTTTTTATCAAAATTTGAAGTCAAAACCCCGATTTTTGACTAAAAAATTAAGTTAATTTGTTAAATAAAAAATATAAGAAAATTAAAAATTAAAAAAAGCTCGACGAGAATACCTGTAGAATTATCTAAAGAAGTTATGTTCCAAATTTCAAACCGATTGGTTCAGTATATTTTTAGTTATCGTGTACACCGATTTTCAAAATGGCATTTTTCAGGAGAGCGCTTTAAACTTTGTGATTCTCATGCATTGAACACCAGACGACCTTCGTTCAACTCCGCATAACTTCGTCAATTTTACTTTGATTGATGTAAAACTTGGACACAATATTCTTAAGATATTGAACTTTTAAAATAAAAAATAAAAAAAAATTTACGAAAAAAAAAATTAAATACCTTACCCCCCCCTTAAGATGAGGAAATGATTTAACAATAGTAATTAAATCGTTTTTCCAGTCTTTGGGCGGAATTGATCTTGTTTGTTCGGACATTTTGCGAGGTTTGTCTTTCTAGCGCCTAGAGAATGCAAAAGCTTTTCGCTATCAATATCGATAGTTTTATTTTATACATAATGATGCATTTCCGCGAATGTATCGTATGTTGAAAAACGGGTTGCCCAGCACGGCGAACCGCCGGGCCACCACCCGTTCCCCCTCCTTTATTTCGAACAGGATTCTTGTCCTGGCGGCGGCTGGGATGCTGTCCGTCATGGCGCGGATGGTGGCGAACTTTTCGGCTCCGTTATTTTGGCGGAACACCGCGTGCTTGTGGACCGCCTGGATGACGACATCAACGTAGCCCATGTTGGTGTCTATCCTCTTAATGAGGTGGTGGAGGTCCACAAGCACGGGGTACCCCGCCTCCACAAGGAGGGCATTGTTCGATCCTTCGTCTGCAACGATGGCCAGCAGGTGGTCCTCGATGCCCAGGCCTCGGAGTTCGTTGACCACTGCCAGCAAGCATTCCAACACCTCCCGAGCATCGAACTGTCTGTTTTTCTGGACAAACAAGGCAATTAGGCTACATTAGGCTTTGTTGTGAATAAGTACTTACGGTTTTCGTGTACACCACCTTCTTTAAGGAGCCGTCCTCCGTGGTGGCCAGCATGAGCACGATGTGTGCTGCGACAGGCTGCAATAACGGGATATAAGTTGACAACGCTTTTATAATGGGTGGGCGGGAGAAAAGAGGGCCCCATCATGGGATATAGTACTCAACGTCTTCAGGAATATAACATCGATCATTATAAAGAAGCACCTGTCGGTGGACGCCGATTTTAAGGCCTCCAACTCCGGCCGGTTCAAGAAGAGCCCACTTGGCCTGTGGGGGTCGTCGACCACTGGCAGGTGCCGAAGCACCTCCTGGAAAAAGGCGCGCTTTAGTGGCGTCTGGGCACACTCGAACGCGAAACCCGCAGATCGCCCGATCTGGCACTTTTGGTCGCTGGGACCGAAAAGTCTGGCAACGCTGGCAAGTCTTGCCAGACGTGGTGGCGCCATATTTTACATATTTACTCACTAGCGCCTCCACAAAGATGGGTTGTGTGATTTATAAACTAATTTGTATCTACATCTACAAAAGCGCCATATTTTACATACTGGTTACGTTTTTGTAAACTACAAAAATAAATAATTTTCTTATACGAATGTGCTATAAATTGAATAACAGTATAACGTTAATGCTATGTTCTTGCTATAAATTGTAATTATACCCTTGCAGGGTATTATAATTTCAGTCAGAAGTTTGCAACGCAGTGAAGGAGACGTTTCCGACCCTATAAAGTAGATATATTCTTGATCAGCATCAACAGCCGAGTCGATCTAGCCATGTCCGTCTGTCCGTCCGTCTGTCCGTTTCTACGCAAACTAGTCTCTCAGTTTTAAAGTTATCTGAATGAAACTTTGTATATAGTCTTCTATATACTCTCACTGCTATATATGTCGGAACGGGCCGGATCGGACGACTATATCATATAGCTGCCATACAAATGTTCAATAAATTTTTAGAAAAAAATTATAACTTTGTGGTTTTTCAATATTTTCACACCAGATAACGCCATTCTATATTATTTTAGATTTTCAATAAAAATTTCATGAAAATCGGACGACTATATCTTATAGCTGCCATAGGAACGATCGGGAAATTAATAGAAAAAATTATAACTTCGTTGTTTTTCAACGTTTTTTCATCTACTCTGAGATATAAGCTTTTTGTATTATTCTAGAATTTTGGTATAAATTTCATAAAAATCGGGCAACTATATCATATAGCTGCCAAATAAACGATCGGTAGATGTAGAGAAAATGTAAAGCTGGGAATGCAAAACTGTAACTGTCAAACTGTAAACATAATAATATAGGTAAAATGTAATGAAATAATATCTGCAAGGGTATAAAAACTTTGGCGTGCCGAAGTTAGCTTACTTTCTTGTTTTTAGATAGTTTTAATTGAGTTGAGGTTTTTTACGATTTCTACATAAAGAATTGGATTACATTTTTTATTGATTCTAAATGTCCCGTTCTAGGGCAAATATTAAACTTAATTGCAGCTTAAATTGCAAGGTTTTATAACTTTAGATTTTTTGAATGGCGTGCAGTCGATCCTGCCAAGAGTTCTACTATAAATATGTCAAATTAATATCTCCCACTTGCATAAAAATCATATAAAATAAAATACTTTTTTTTAATCTTAAACACTTTCAACTTTTTAACAGCATCAGCAGCTATCGATCTTGTCTGCTGACGAAATGACTCTGAATCGGGCTCAATCTCCTCTTCCTCTTGCTAAGTTAACTGACCTTTAATTTAAGGAAAGGCGCAATAGAGATATATTGGCTAAGAGCGTCATTTGCATTGTGAAAACGCCCAGATAAAAAAAACGCAAATCGGAACCGAGATTGCAGAGATTACTCGCGCAGAGTGAATAGCCATAACGTAAAGGGGGCGCACCCAAAAAGACAACAACAGCGATGATTATACAGAAAGTGAAACTGATATGTAACAAACTGTTTTCTGGTGGTGAGGAGATAAGCTTCTGTCCAAGAACCCAGCTGCGAAACAACAAGCCCGTGACTTTTATCAGGGACTAGTAACATTACGTGAAATCTTTCCACTCAAGTGGAACTTGGATGTAAATATCGTAAACAGATTTGGTACAGACGTGCTGTCTGAATTTCGCCACAAAGTGTTGACTTACAACACATCGTTAAATCTGGCAAGCAACAAACCAATAGAAATCGCCATAATCCTTCCAAAATTCCAGATCAATGAACTTAGAAAAAGTTACAAGACGGGTAATCAATCTTCAACTTTTAGATAACCCACCCAGTAGTACACTCGATATAACAATAGCGGCGAAAAGCGATATCGTCCAACTTAGTCCCGTGCAGTGAATAAATCTTATCTAAATCAGCCAACAGGGCGCTAAGCTGGAGCTATAAAAGAGAGATTGCAGCCGAGAATCGCCAACAGTTGAAATCTGAAATTACAAAACATCGGAAGCAAGCAGCTTACAGAATGCCTTACACCCCAGTGAACTCCTACGACGGCGATCTTAAGATCTGGAGCGGAGAGCCGGTGAGCCACTACTTCGATCCACATCTGTCTATCGGGCAGATCATCTTCCAGGAGATGCGGCGTCATCCCCAACTCGTCGCCCAGGTTGGTTTCTAAAAGGGTTACCTAGGAATCAGAAGGAAATATCCTAAACCTTTCCTTGCAGATCTCGGCTTCAGAGAACACCGTCCTGACCAGACAGGAGCTCCATGCCAACTCCATGAAGGTGGCCAGCTATATGCGCTTCTTGGGCCTCCTTCAATCCGATGTGGTGGGCCTAATAGGCAGGAACACCACTCACATGCCCGCAGTGGCATACGCCTGTTTCTTCAACGGAATCGCCTTCCACTCGCTGAACATAACCTATGATCAGAGTACCATAGAGAAGCTCTTCGACATAACCAAGCCTCGCCTCATTTTCTGTGATGGAGATGAGTTCGAAAAGGTGCGCGCCGCCACCGCATCCCTGGATGTGAAGATCATCACCATGCGAAATCACCCGAAATCAGCCGACTCCATCAGCATTGATGAAGTACTAGCCACTCCCATCGAGAAAAACTTTCAGCCAGCTCGCCTAGAACTGGGCAACGATCAGACCCTGGCTATTCTCTGCTCCTCCGGCACCACTGGAACCCCCAAGGCGGTCACCATCACCAACAGTCGACAGATACTGGCTGCCAACCAGTGAGTACTTATCAGTCATTTCGCGATCACAGCTAACTCTGCGCATAAATGGTATTTATAGCCAGCTGACCACTGCCGACATTCAGTACTCCCACAACACTCTCGACTGGATAACCGGCCTATTGACCACGGTGACCTCTGGCGTGTTCAGCACCACCCGCATCATCGCTGACAACGCCTTCGATCCTGCCTTCGCTTTGCGAGTCATCGAGGAGTACAAGGCTACGTGGATTATCCAGCCACCGTCCTGTATGGCCATGATGGTGAACTCTCCGGAGTTTGAGACCAGTGACCTGTCTAGTCTGCGGTATTTCCTGTTTGGCGGATCTCGTGCTGCATTGGAGGTGCAGCAGAGCATCAGGAGTCGGTTGAGCAGCGACTGCCTGCAGTTTATGTATGGATTCACGGAACTCGGTGCCTTGGCCACCTACAACTGCCACTTCGACGAGAAGCCCAATTCGGTGGGACGCTTGACCAATGGCCTCAAGCTGAAAATAGTCTCTGAAGATGGCCAGTCCCTCGGACCCGATGAGATGGGGGAAGTGTGCATCAAGAATAACCAGCACTGGGCGGGTTACTATGGAAACCAGTTGGAGACCCGCGAGATACGGGATCCTCAACGATGGTATCACTCTGGAGATCTTGGCTACATGGACCAAGACGGTTTTCTTTACGTCGTGGAGCGCAAGAAGGACATGCTGAAGTACCAGAACATCATGTACTATCCCAACGAGATCGAGAGCGTCATCTCGGAGATGCCTGACGTAGCGGAGGTCTGTGTGTTTGGAGTATGGAGTAATATGTACGGAGACGAGGCGGCCGCCGCTGTTGTAAAAAAACAGGGCAGTGATCTGAGAGCCCAGGATGTCGTCGAATATGTGAGCACGCGGACGGACTCCAAGTATAAGCAGTTGAATGCTGGAGCCATCATCGTGGATGATCTCATGCGCAGCGCCAATGGAAAGACCAATCGAATTGCCAATAAGAATCACTACCTGCATGTAAAGGAAAGAAGTTAACTTTGGGTTATATTTTTCTTTTAAATAATTCTACCCTTAATAAATGAAAGCGAATCTCTTTACGGTCACACAATAATGTACATTTCTTATTGCAATTTTACGGATTATTTAGACAAAGACAAAGCTCCACAGATGTAACGGCGCCTGTAGCGTCTGCAAAGCTCAGTGATCTATAAATATTTTCGGCTAAGAAACGAACCGAGTTTAAGTCTAGCTGCATACCCGTTTAGCTTCTAGGAAACTCCCAGAGTTTGGATTTTTTGGGGCACAGGATGTGACCCACTTATCAGACTCGTAACGAGTTAAGGAGTCTTAAGGAGTCGTTTTGGAGAGTTTAGGAATAATCACCTAAGAACCTCGGCTGAACTTTTGAGCGTCCTAAGGAGCACCCGCCCAGGTAAGCTCCTAGCAGGGGCTTCCGAGCCCGCTGAGATGGCGAACTAGCACGGATGCGGTGCTGCAACTTTGAGGGAATGTAATCCTGCAGCGCATCGTTGTCTGATCGAGCAACGCGTTTCTACCAGGAGCCTTCCGCGCAAGATGTATGCTTTCTCTTGTTTTTTTTTTATTTTGGTTTTAGGAGACTTTTGTAGCAGCCAATCTTAACCCCAATAATCGGGGAACTTACAAATACATGTGCTGAGAAGTAGCGAGAATTCCGTGAAATAAATGCGAATCAAACACCAATAAGTTGAATACAATTTTGATTATTAAAATGAAGTGCCCAGAGGGCAAATTGATTAAGAATTAATGCGTAAAATTTCATAATTACGATTAGATAAAAATAAATTAAATTGTTGCTGTACAAGTTTTGATTAGGTAAACGTCTCCTCCTTAGTTAGCTACACATAGAGAAATTTCAATTAAGATTATAATTAGGGTTTATACTATTTCATTTATTATCCTGTAACTATATTTACGCTTGCATTATGTTCTTAGGCTACGCTGTCTTTAAGAATTCTACAAAAACAGATTAAAATCATGAAAACCTAAAACTAAAACTTTTTGAACTCTGCTGATGAACCCGTGTGAGTAGGATATCCGAAGGGGTCACCGGAGTCATGCCTCCAAGGAAGGTGATCACAGGTTGGGTGGGCATACCGCGTCCACAACAACATCCGTGTTCTTGCAAAATTAGCTTTCTCTCTATCCTTCTTTTTGCTTTCCTCTAAACTCTACTCTTTCTCTTGGCTTTCCATTCTTATGAATTTATTTGGTTTCTCTGCCGGCTTAGTTCTGGTTTTTTAATAATAAAGCGTCAGAGGTCTGGGTGAGCCGACGAGGTAGAGCCGGATACTATAGCGTGCCCCCGCAACTCAGATCCTCGATAACCTGTCAGATATTCTAACGTTACACGCTACATAGATGGCGAGTCAAAGAGTGAATTTTTATGACTTTTATTAAGGATCCAAGCGAGATGGTATTAGCTGAAGAGCTCTAGCTTCCAAAGGTTTTTAGATCGTGATTCATATGGACAGATGGACATGACTAGGTCACCTCGCTTACTAATCAAGACCATACATATTTTCTGCAAATTGCTTACTTAAGTTATTATACCTATGTGCCCAATGGGATAAAACGGACTCATACTTGTATTACTTACTTACTTGTATTTTAAAGTAGCTTTAACTTTGGTAATAAGAGTAAGAGGACTTGTGTGGGCATACCAATCACAAATCTATATATTTTGATTATTATACCCATGCAGGTTATTCTAATTTTAGTCAGAAGTTTGCAACGCAGTGATGGAGTCATGGATGGATGGGGCACGAAACGACTACAGTTTGGTTAATGAATTAAAAACTATAAAATAATACAACATTTAAATAGTTTTTGATAAATTTTGTATTGAAAAATATTTAGAGATAGAGGAGTTATAGGGAATCTCCCGAGTCGCCGCCAAAAAAAAAAATGGTTTGCGGTGTACATCCTAACTTTCCACAAAGTCATCCGATCTACAAAAATTATACCTCATTCGGTAAAAGATAAGTGTCCCGAGGTATTCACGAAGCGTTTTTATTTTTAAAATTTTTCTCCCGATTTTTTATCAAAATTTGAAGTCAAAACCCCGATTTTAACTCAAAAAATTAGTTAATTTGTTAATTAAAAAATATAATAAAATTAAAAATTAAAGAAAGGTTGACGTGAATACCTGTAAAATTATCTAAAGAAGTTATGTTCCAAATTTCAAACCGATTGGATCAGTAGATTTTGAGTTATCGTGTACACCGATTTTCAAAATGGCATTATTCAGGAGAGCCCTTTAAACTTTGTGATTCTCATACATTGAACACCAAACGACCTTCGTTCAACTCTGCCTAACTCCGTAAATTGTACTATGATCGATGTAAAACGTAGACACAATATTTTTAAAATGTTTAGCATAAAAAATAAAAAAAAAGTTACGACAAAAAAAATTAAATACCCTACCCCTCCCTTAAGTAATTTGCACTCATTAGCCATTGCAAGCAATTACTTTTTCGAAAATATTCCACTCTTTCAAAGCTACTTCTAATAACTGTTCAATATTTTGTCTTCTTCCTTTTTTCACACCGTTTTTTATACCCTTGCAGGGTATTATAATTTCAGTCAGAAGTTTGCAACGCAGTGAAGGAGACGTTTCCGACCCTATAAAGTATATATATTCTTGATCAGCATCAACAGCCGAGTCGATCTTGCCATGTCCGTCTGTCTGTTTCTACCATAGCTCGCAAATAACGGTTGACAGATTCGAGCGATCTCAAAAAAACTGTTTTTTTCCTAGCATTAGAGCCAAGATCCTAAGAGCAACCGATTGAATTGGTTTTATACAAACTTTGCTCGCGATCAGCTGACCAACAGTTTTTTCTGTTCTCTTTTGCTGTGCCCATTCACGGTACGTTTGCTCTTGAGCGAAGAGTCAAAAAGCCTTTTGCGCGTGTATGTGTGTATGTGAAGTTTCCTTCGAAAACGCACATGTGTATGTGAAGTTTTTTAGATTCTTCGCGTCACTTCGCTTTTTAAATTTCGTGAGAGCAGTGCACTGTATAAAGCTATTAAAATGGGACGTGAAGCAAATAAAAAAGTTCATCAATTCTATAAGTTCAATACTTTAGAAAACAAATCAGAGTGCAAAGTGTGCGGAGGAAAACTAACAGGAAATCATTCCACAAATTTGAAGCGGCATTTGACAACAAAACATGGAGAAATCTTCAGAGAATGCGACAACGAAGAGAGCACCGATTCAAAAGTTGTTAAGAAGAAAAAAATTACATACGAATCAAGTGAAGAAGCGATTGTAAATTCACTTATAAAAATTGTTACAACAGACGGAAAGCCATTTCTTTTCTTGGACAGCGAGGGATTTAAGGAAATTCTGAATCCAATTTATAATGCCCTGGGGATGAATCCAATCACGTCGAGAAACATAATGAGTTTCGTATCTGTTAGGGAGCAGGCCATAAAAGAAGATATAAGGGCTCTGGTGAAAAGAAAGCTATTGTCGCTAAAAATTGACGTAGCGACCAGAATGGATAAAGCCATTCTGGGTGTCAATCTGCAAATGATTCACACCAGTATAAATAAGTCAGAGATCCTAGTAAAGACTTTGGGCATGATCCAGCTCACCCGTGCCCACACTGGGGTATATATAAGGGACAAAATTTTGGAAATTCTCGACGATTACGGCATAAGTCTTGACCAAATCTTCAGGTAAAAATTAAGTTAATTTTTAATATGCAAACAAATTGAATAGAAAATATAATTTATGCACACAGTGTTACCTCTGATAACGGGAGAAACATGGTCAAAGCCATACAAATTTTAAATGACGACATGGAGGAGACCCTTTTTGAGATTGATGACAATGAAGGGGAAAATGTAATGGAGAAGCTTGATGACCTGGATTTGGCGAACATTCATCTTGTACGGTGTGCTGCACACACTCTTTAGCTGTGCGTCTATGATATTAATAAGTTGAACGAGATAAGCGATCAAATTAGTATCTGCCGCAAATTATGCAAAAAATTGCGCACTGAAACCTATAGGTAAGTAACGTGTAAATGGAATAAATTATTTGATAAAGATACAAGAAATATGTAACCTGCACAGACGTATTTTAACCGAGCACAACAAAAATATACCGTCGCTCGACGTTGTCACTAGGTGGAATTCGACGTACTTAATGGTTAAAAAACTACTTGAGCTAAAAGAGTTCCTGTCCACTCAGTGTAGCATTGATACCGACATAGAATGGGACTGGATGGAGACGTATGTTGACGCCTTTAAGGACGCATATGATGCGACCTTAAAGTTGCAGGAGAAAAATTTAGTTTACACTGAATTTTACATCATATGGATGGAACTGAAGTTGCAGTGCCAGACGAGCCAAAATTTCATTCAAAAAAAATTATTGGCACAAATGAATCTGCGAGAAAGTAAGTTGCTCGAAAACCAAGCTTTACTATCGGCTGTTTATATGGATCCGCGAGTGAACTGCGCTTTAACAGATCACCAAAAATTTTTGGCAAAGCAGAATTTAAAAAAAATAGCTTTGCGCCTGTTTGACCTAAAACATGTAAGAAGAAATGTGGTTGAAATTTTGGTCCTGTTTTCTGTATGTTATAGCTGCTTTTAGATATGTGTTCTTAGTTTAATAATTAAAATTGTCCTCGTCATACACTAACAACTGTTTTAAGTTATTATTTCAAACCATAAATTACAACATAATATTATTTGTTATTAAAGGTTCACGTCCAACAAACTTTTGCATCGCAGATGAATGAAGCTGAACTGCATATGGAATCCTCCTCCTCGTCCTTGCCAGAGAAAAAGTCGCTTTTTTCAGCATTTTTGGATGACAAGCAGACTGTTCCGAAAGCAGCAGCAGAGCCGATTTCAGACAAGCTGCAAAAGATATATTTTGATGTGGAAAATTTCGACAAAATATATGATCGTTTACAGTTAACAGACGACATATTACAATTTTTTGGAAATGTAAAGCTAAAATCGCCATACATTAGTGCGCTGGCTCATGTAGTATTGGCGACACCGGCTACTCAAGTGTCTGTTGAAAGAGCATTTTCAGCATTGCAT